TTATTATTATTATTATTATTATTATTATTATTATTATTATTATTATTATTATTATTATTATTATTATTATTATTATTATATTCTTAGTGTTGAGAAGTAGCGTTCCAAAACCCAAGTACAAATGTGCTTTCTCATCCAATCCCATCGTGCTTTAACAAAACGAGTCAATACATGTTGATACTAATGTTTTGCCAGTGCAGAAGATAGTACACGAAGCCCGCAAGCGCCAGATGACAAGAATAAAAGGTTAAAAATAATTAAAATACTTCATGTTTGTACACTGCTTCAGATGTTTACACGTAAACTCGTCTGCGCGGGAAATCGGAGGCATGCTTCCCATCTCGCTCGTCTAGGCGCAACTTATGCCCCGCCGCGGTGGTCTAGTGGCTAAGGTACTCGGCTGCTGACCCGCAGGTCGCGGGTTCGATTCCCGGCTGCGGCGGCTGCATTTCCGATGGAGGCGGAAATGTTGTAGGCCCGTGTACTCAGATTTGGGTGCACGTTAAAGAACCCCAGGTGGTCTAAATTTCTGGAGCCCTCCACTACGGCGTCTCTCATAATCAAATTGTGGTTTTGGGACGTTAAACCCCACAAATCAATCAATCAAATCTAGGCGCAACTCTACACGGTTGATCGGGCACAGACGTCGAGACTGGGCTTGTGCGTCAGAATCAGTAACACGAACGGTCAGGAAGAGGGAGTATTTCTCTTCCCCACGTGCATGGCCACCATTTCCAGGGGTCCAAGGTTGCGCAGACAGCTTAGCAACCAAATGGCCCGCCGAATTCTATCCACACTCATGACGGCTCAAGTTCATCCCAGCACGTTTGCAGCACTGCTGCAGCTCTCGTCACGTGTACTTGATTATGGCATTTAGGGCCGCGATACTTGGCTTCAATTTCTTTCTTTCTTTCTTTCTTTCTTTCTTTCTTTCTTTCTTTCTTTCTTTCTTTCTTTGCAGCATCAAATCGCACTTATGTTCCACCCACGCTTGTATATACGACCCCTGCTGCACAGCAGATCAGTCCGGCGTATCGTCTCAAGGATTCATTCGGGTAAAAAAAACGGACTGACTGGATCTTGCGGCAGTGACTGCACGCACGTACGCAAGCACACACACACACACACACACACACACACACACACACACACACACACACACACACACACACACACACACACACACACGCAACAACAGAGTTCATCCCTGTTGTTTGAATGCTGGCTGGTCCGAGACTCAGAAAAACTAAAACCGTTCGTTGCTTGGTAACCCACATTCCTCTCTACACACAGCCGATATGGCAGCTTACAGGTTGAGTGAGCAAAGGTATCGTACTGGCTGACGCAGGGTCGGTGGTAACAAAAGCAAAGATTGGTTTTGCGGATAGCAACAAGTTTATGGATGGTCAAGTCACGCACCTGGTTCAGTCAAAGGCGTGCGAGAGCGAAGCTGGTTTATTATAATTACCTACAACTTACTGCAGACCACACTTCTATCCTTCTAAGAAGGGAGCTCCTGCTGCGTGCAAGGAAAAGAAGAGAACGCAAAGGTTAAGTTAAAATTAGTACAAAGAAGTATACAGATTTTCAAACACAACAGAGAACATAGGCAACGTTCTTATGGTTAATTCATTACCAATGTGAGGTTCCATACCGAAGCTGGTCTACGTCTGTATATGGGCACATTTTAGAGCGAAGAAAAGACGTCATAAATGTAATGTGAACTGCTTTAGCAGATAACCATTACAACTAGTGAGACGTGTGGAGAGGCGACCCGTATCAGCAGAACATCCCCACCTATGAAAGAAGCAACAGGAGCCACCTCCGTGATCATGGAATCCTGCAAAATGAGGAAGAGAAACACGGAAGGACAGGGAGCTTATGTCGAATTCCAATGGCGAAGTCGGAACAATTTTTTCTTCTCGTTTTCAAGCAAGTGTGCTCCAGTTGCAGAGTGCGCGCGGGAGTCAAGTGTTCTCATGAGAGATTCATGTTTGATTCAGAATGAGAGCCACTGTGAGGAGCAGGAAAAGTTGCTCGACCAAAATCGGCGGAGTGGACCGGAACTCTACGTGACGCGCTCACTTTAACACGTTCGCCCGATTGGTGGCACCACCGATGTCACGTGTTTTCGACAGCTCCGAGTCCAAGTCGGAAAGCTCGAGTTCGTGCACGAGCAGTTCATCGGATCGTGTCACCAACACTGAAACTACTACGTACGAGCAGTAATACAACAGAATTTCACAGTGGTACGGAATAACTGCACGCATGGTATTCTGGGCATCTCAAGGACTTCCGCTTTCTACTTGCTTCCATGCTTGGTCCGGCGTCGCGGACTGTCTTCCGATCGCGGATTTGGAAGCGTTTCTCAACGCCAGAGTTGAGTGCGCTCTCACAGAGTACATCGGCTGTTCCGACTCTGCGATTGGAATACATCATTAGTCGTTACTCAGTCTGGCTGGCTACCCTATCCCAAGGGAGAGGAATAGATGATAGAAAAAAAAATTGGTAGATCCCACGTACCTGGGAAGCGACGTTATGCGAAGCGTGTGGAGGAAAGGTGACCGTGTTGCAATTTTTTTATTGAGCGACATGTGATGAAATGGCGCTAAATAAGCGTACAAATGTTGCACACACAGACATGTGTTGAAGAGTTACAGATGTTTATATAACCAGTTGTTTGCACTTGCGCAACGATTCCAACTGGAACATGCGTATTAGCAACACCAGAAGCTGATATGAAGCGCTGATGCTCACGAGGATGCTGGCCCTGGACGCTGCTACATAAATATAATTAAGCACATGGCGACTAACCACAATTGACGTTAACCCGGCGTCACGGCTGTATCAAAGGAGTACATGTGCAACGTTTATTAAATTGGGTAGGCAGCACTGCAACCACTATTGACGTCTCACGAAGATTAGCGTCTATTGGAAAAGTAGTTCGACACCTGGCGTAGCTCTGTGGTAAAATGCTTCATTGCCACGCAGAATGTTCGGATTCGATTCCAGCTGGGACCCTGACATTTATTGTTTGCATTCGTCGGGTCGACGCTACCGACGTCGGGTATTTCTTAACGCTCGCGCGTTGAAATTGCCTATGTGGGTTCTCGTCGCCCTTGAGTGGACACTAAGTGCCAATCACTTGTGGCACATACCCGCATACCAGCGGCACATGCCTGCCCACGGTTATGTGCCACCTTCTGGCAGGAAGCGTTTGACGACGTACGCGACGGGATTGTGACAATATTCATGTCTCGACCAGAGCGTCATATTCGTCAAATAATCTTACCCTTTATGCTAATTTTGGTTCATGCCAAGTTAAGGGTGTGACCGCGAGAGCACTCAAACGTAAGCGGCTTGATAGATAGATAGATAGATAGATAGATAGATAGATAGATAGATAGATAGATAGATAGATAGATAGATAGATAGATAGATAGATAGATAGATAGATAGATAGATAGATAGATAGATAGATAGATAGATAGATAGATAGATAGATAGATAGATAGATAGATAGATAGATAGACACACAGACAGACAGATAGATAGATACGCTCAAATTCACCGAAGTTTGCTAAGAAATGCTTCGTATTTAAAAGGGAAGGTTCACAAACATAGCGTTTATGATCCTGCAGGCATTTCCTAACTATTACTTGAGAATCTGCATGTAAATTATTTATTGGCTGTCACAACGTACTTGTCTTTCTCCATCTCCATCGACTCTTTCTTATACTATCATCACCACAGTCAATCTTTTATGTACAGATAAATTGATGTCTATTGCCTACAGATGCATAACTCTGATTACCACCGCATTCATTATAGGGTTGTAATTGCACTTTAACTGCTCCCTCGTCCTCCATAGAGCCTTTTTTTTTTCGCGGGAGATTTGAGTGTTTCCCATTGGTTATAAATAATGTAAACATCATTTCTTAAGCGTTGGAACTGCGTACGCGTTATAAATTTAATCAGTGTTACTATGCATGGCAATAACGCTTTTTTTTCATTTGTTCGCTAACACTGACAGCTGAGTGAGGCACCCAAAACTGCTTATTAGACCACGGCGACATTTAACAAGTCTGGACAAGCAGAAAGTTAAACACTACACAAAAAGCCTTATTGTGTGGTTTGTTGCTAGTTATCTTATATACATAATACTTACCGATAACGTAAAAGATTAATCAAATAAAGTAAAAACAGTTTTTGTCATATAGGCGCAAAGAATGCGTACCTAATATTTGGGCCGTCATAACCTACTTTTGGACCACTGAAACCTATATTATAACCTACAGGACGAGATGGTGGTCTAATACAGAAAATGCATAGCAACGTTCACATGCGGTCTCAGAACAATGTTGCCTTAGATGAACGTAGGCAAGCTGCATTTTATCGTAATTTTTATCCACCAAGGAGAATATCCCCACTTTCCTAGACTGGGAGAAACGTTTAGATCGAAACTCAAAGTTGCGTGCTACTTTTATTTCTCACAGGCACAGTATTACATGCTACATCATCGACAAAATCTAATAAGCGTGGACCACTGGCACAGTAACAAGAAGGCACGTTTAATTTGCTTACCCGGTGTTAACACTCGAAGACAAGATCATGGTGCGCATATCTGGTAGGCTTGTAGAGGTTTACACATTGTCACTAAATACATTTCATAATTTCGCAGTCTTCAATAGAAAAAAGTACATAATTCATTACACATATTTATTTCCTTAGAGGGAAGGGAGAAGTCTCGTGGAATGCTTTCAAAGGGCAAGCTTCCACCAATGAGTGATGCAGTTGTCTTTTACCCTTTTCATACAGTCACGTACCTTTAGTAGACCAGGTCATTGCGCCCCTATCTATCACTCCCTTCCGGCGTCACAGCCTGAGCTCACGCATTGTTTTTTCAAATCCCGAACATTGTCCCTTTGTTAATCAAGGTGGAATATTATCGCTCGATTATGCACAATTTTAAAACAACGTGCTTATTTCCTTTGTTGCAGTTGCAAACAAGTGGTTCCGCGCCAACAGCAACCTGTTCCGACTGCCCTGCTCACGGAATCGCAGCCAACCTCTGGCTCCACTCGTGTGAACCCTACTGGACTCTCGTCGCTCGCACAGAGCCCTCCTCTTAAGTCATGCCAATGAATATGTGTCTTTGTCCGTCTATTTAAATACTCATGCTAATAAATGTTACGACTTGTATTTAAAGACGAAAGCCTTCAGTGGCCTTGTAGACGCCCTTCCTCCTCGGGACTGACGCGAGAAGTCGCTAGACCTCCAAAAGTTCCCGATTTCTGGCAAGGTTTCACAGTCTCGCTGAAGTCTATGAAGCCCCCCCCCTCCCCCGCACTGTTTTTGTTGTTGAAAGTTATTTTTTATTTTATTATTTATTTAATATTGTAAGCCTTTCTCAGACTCATACAGGGTGGGCGGGCAAATATACACAGTCGCGTACAAACCAGGCAATATCGCACATAGCGGAAAAACAGAATCACAAGATGATGGTGAAAATAAAACTTGAACGATGAACGCAATTGTACAAAATCATGAACAGATCACAAAACATCGAGGTATCAGCAGGGGGTACAGTGATCAGTGTGTTCGGAAGCGCTCACACACATCAAAAAACAAAAGTTGCTTTTAGTCTTCATAAAACAGGCTTTCTACATTCCGAACAAATGAATCTGCAGAGGAAAGATTAACGCATTCACGTGGCAATTTGTTCCACTCTTCCACTGCTGACGGAAAGAATGAATATTTCAAAGTGTCACAGCGTGACATGAATGGTCTGATGCACTTAATGTGGTTGGTACGAAGGGAGTGATGGTTAGGCGGCTTTATATAGTTGTCTTTATCTATGTTTAAACCGTTGTGATACAAAAGAAAAATAAACTTTAAGGAAGAGACACGACGACGGGCTGCAAGGGTCGGCAAGCATGCCCGCCTGCGCAGCTCAGTGACACTGTCATGCCTCGAATACTTAGAATAGATAAAGCGAAGAGCCTTGCGTTGGACGATTTCTAATTTGTTGGAAAGATATTTTTGGTGGGGGTTCCAAACAATGCTGGCGTACTCGAGGATCGGCCTTATGAGAGATTTATATGCTGTCAGTTTTACATTAGAAGGCGCCAATGCAAGTTTTCGACGCAGGATTCCTAGCTGGCGATAGGCTTTTGTGTATGTGCTACTTATATGTGCGTCCCACTTCAGTTTACTTGTAAAGGTAACGCCCAAGTATTCAACAGCGTCGTTTCTTGCAATGTTTGTGCTGACCAAATTGTAACTAAAATGCTGGATTGTTTTTCTGCGCGTGATGCTAAGGCAAGCTGTTTTTGACACGTTAATTTCGATTCCCCACTCAAGGCACCAACATGCAATATTAGCTAGTGTGGTATTAAGTCTAAGCTGGTCGTCAGTTGTGCGGATAGTGGTGTAGATCACGCAGTCGTCAGCGAATAATCTCATTTTATTGTTAGGCTCAAGGCACATATCGCCATAATTAACATATATTAGGAACAAGATGTGTCCTAAAACGGAACCTTGAGGTACTCCAGAAAAAACTTCCAATGAATCAGAGGCTGTGTTGTTTACGGTTACATAGTGGCTTCGATTTGAGATACATTTTTATCCATACTATTATGTTACTGTTAATACCAATAGACACAAGTTTGTCAGTCAATTTACTGTGAGGCACCTTATCAAAAGCTTTGGCGAAGTCTATAAATATGGAGTCAGTTTGCAATTGTGAGTTAATAGTAGTTACGAAGTCATGCGTTATTTCCAAGAGTTGAGTAACGGTAGAAAGGTTTTTACGGAATCCGTGTTGGTTTAGGCGCAATAAGTTGTTATCTTCTAAATAAGTAATTATTGCCTTGTTGATTACATGTTCCAATAATTTACAGCAGCAGCTAGTTAGCGAGATAGGCCTGAATGTTTCTATGAACAGCTTGCTCCCGTCTTTATGAATTGGGATTACCTTTGCACACAACCAGTCTGCAGGTAAAGAAGCTGTTAGCAGGGATGCTTTAAAAATTGCTTCAAGGAAGGGACATAGTTGCTCTGCGTAGCATCGAAGGAATACATTTGAAATATTGTCAGGACCCACTGATTTCTTAACATCGATCTGCAACAGCAGGTTCAGGATACCTTCCGTAGTGACAACGACATCGGGCAATAAAAAAGGATGCACCGGAGCAACAGGGCTGCTTGGTGCGCATGCACGTGTAAATACCGACTGAAAATACCTATTGAAAGCATTGGAAACGGCCTGCGCGTCCTTTACGATAGTACCCTAATTTCTACTTCAGTTGTGGGGTTTTCAGGCCGTGCCAAGAAACGCCAAAAATTTTGCGGCTGATCCTTTATGAAGTGAGATAACGTATGTGAAAAAAAAAGTTTGTCTTGGATTTCAAATTTCCGCCTTAAGCTGAGATGCAAGTTCCCTTAAGATAATTACATTCCTCTTTTTCTTGCGCATTCTCTGTACCCTTCTTTTAAGGTGAATAATACGGCGATTGATCCATGGTGTTTTTCTCTGTGTGTGCGGTTTAGTTTCGTTGGGATAAAATTTTGTTCACAGTTCGTAATGATTTTTTTTTTCAGTTGAATCCACATACCATTACCACCCTCACATTCCTCTAGAGAAAAAGTCTCTAGTGCTGTGTCGAGGTAATCAATAACACAAACATCATTAGCTCTGGTGTAGTCTTTCACGGCTATCCGTGAACTTGTGCCATCGGGTTTGGTATTTAAGTATTCAAGGTTAAAAGTTATGACTAACATTTTGTGGTCAGATATTTTATCTTCTACAGTGGCTTTACCGGATAGGTTATCGGAAAGAAAAGCTAGGTCTAATATGGAGCGAGTGTTTCCTTGAATTCGGGTTGGTTCCTGGACCAACTGGGACAATGAAAAATTGAACATTAAATTGTATAATAGCTCGCTGTTGGCGGTATTTCTAGTACTTGTTAAGTTTTCCCAGTCAATAGCGAGATTGAAATCTCCAGTAAGTATTAATTTGGTACGGGGGGTAACCTTATCAACCAGATAGTCATGTACTTGTAAAAGGTAATCATCAGACGCATTTGGCTTTCTGTAGATGCCACCGATCAGTACTGGAGCATCGTGAGCAAATATTGTGCACCAAACGCTTTCGTGATTCGCGATACCCTTTTCTCTACGATATTGCAAACCACGTTTTAATGCAATGGCGACAACGCCCCCTCGACCGCCACGATCTGACCGAAGTAGGCAGTATGAAGAAGGAACAATTTCAGAATCAAGAATGTCTGGGTGCAGCCACGTTTCAGTTATCACGACAACATCAGGAGTGTACGAAAATAACAATTATTCTAGCTTGTCAGTTTAGTTAACAATGCTACGGGCATTCAAACATACCAATGAAAAGGGTGTGGCGGCTTGCGGGTGTCACGCGTTGCTTTTCGCGTGACCATTGTGACGTGCCCTGGATAGATGTGGATACCGTGTATCATGTCTAGTTAGCGCTCGTGTCCGTCCAATACAGTCGCATGTGACGAGAAGGTTATCCCGCGAGCGTCGACCTGCCTAACATCCCAGGGGCCTGGCGGCCCGTTTCTGAGTACTGGAAATCAAGATTGCGCATTTTTCTCTCAATCGCTGATTGTTCCGCGCTACAGCAATTACCTCTATGGAGAACACATCCTTTTCCTCTACCTTAAGCCTTAAGTTCGTCGCGGTCAAGATGTGTTTATTCTTGATGAGCTCTTATCACGGCAGGAAATTACGAACTTGTTGTGAAAGGTGTGTTAAAGCTGACGCTTGGCACTGCTTCGTTCAAGCATTTTCCTCAGACAGGAGTGATCGTACCTTAAGGAACAGCACAAAAAGTGAGGTTTCCAGAGATACCAGGCTATCCTCCTAAGAGAATTCTCGAACGTGGCGCTGTTGTAGTTTTTGGTCGGTGTTCACGCGATAACCTTCAAATCGCACTCGACTGTACTTCTTGTCCCTGTGTGTTTCCCCAATACGCTACAAGCCGGCTTACCCGGCCAAAGATTCGCGTGGCTTTCTCGATGGTGACGTCACAGAACGGCAAAAGTAACATCATAATGACGACATAGTGACGCCATATAGACGTCAATACATGACATCTACAGCAGTCTTCATGATGACTGTTATTTCACGTCATCGAACAGGAGCAACCTTAGAAACAATACATACTCCTTATTTATGCAGATAAACGCCTTCTTTCCTACCTACCAACATGAAATTTCAATACACAGAAATAACTTCTGAAACAACACCAGCACATAGAAATGCCATATTTATCATTGAAAGCCTTCTCATGCCCTTGTTTGTTCTAACAGTCATTACATATTTTAACAAGTACTCGGGCAGCGAAAATTAATAAAGGTTTTCAATATACATACTAAAAGCTTTACAGCTACCATGATTCTCTTCTGAAAGGAATGGAACTATAGCGACTGAGATTTGCGCATGGAACTGCATCCAGATGTCGCTCAAATATCCGTTCCTGAAAGCGAAGCAGGTGGAACTGAAAAGAAAAAAATGTATATATATAACCGATGGTTACGATATTGAGTAATGTGAAGTCATTCTAAATGCAGCTTCGTGTCGCCACTTAGGCTTTCCGCGATGTATCGACTACGCCTTCACTATAGTTTTGTGAACTACGCCATTTTTTACCCTACTGCAATAAGCGAGGTTTACCCTAGGAGGATTAAAGAAAAATAGCTGGAGAGGAAGCTCCCGCAATGCCTTGCCAGCAGAAGTGAGCCACCTTTTGGCACTGCTAAGATGGTGGAAACATGCTCTTTTCTGATAGTGCCCACTTAAAGATCAGGTGGCTTCGGTATGTTATGTAAATGCTGCGTTCGTTCTATATTAAAACATAGTCGTTCCCGACGAAATAACACACAGAAACGAGTATAGACGACTGAATCTTCAAAGAACATTGCCTCCAATTAGAGCCTCACTAAGAAAAACTATTAACTGTAAGGCGCACTTGGAGCAATATGTGACCCGAAAAAGTTCATACATTAAACTCGTTGAGCGCGCGAGGGAAACGCTTCGTTTTTAATCGCTGAATGGTGATACTTTATCATGCCCCTAGTAAGATGACGGCGACAGCCGCCATCTTGTCAGATGAATCGCTTCACTTCTGCGCAATCATTTCCACTCCAGCAATTCTTTTTAATCCTCCTTGGGTTTACT